GCCGCATGCTGGTCCAAGTTGGGCCCCGGATAGGGAACACCACCGAGGCATGGGTGTGCTTGAGTGGCGGGCTTGGTGAAAGCACTGAAAATACCCCGGACCGGATGGGAAGAACAAACAAACCTGGCTCAGAAGTACAGCCAGAGTGTTCTCCGAAGGGAGGTCGGCGAGACTTTGCCTCACACACTTTGGGCGTGTTATCAGGTGGACAAGGATCGCGTGCTTAAGTCAAGAGCTTGCAGGAGACCGAGTGATCGGTGGCTGCAACCGTGGGCTCAAACCTCACAGCGCTGGTGCCGGTATTCCAGCCCCGGTGGTGCTGGTGGGGGTGGGGGTTGGGGGGCTGCTGGAAGCGATTCAGCCACACCTAGTAGCTGTGAACCTAACTTCATGAATCCAGAAAAGAAGCCAGCGAACATTCCTTCATTTCTCCGACTGCTTCTGCCTTCTGTCAGCAGGCCGCCCACAGACTCCTCCAGCCCTTCCTGGTTATGCTCTGCCTGTCTTGCACGCCCCCCCCACCCCCCACCCCTGCCCCCTTCTTTCTTAAAAAGCCCAGGGCACATTTCTGTGTGTTGGCGAAGCTCACATTCCTGCGGAGCTCCTCGGGGCTCCGAGAGGCCGAAATGCAGCGCTGTATAATTGTCCTTCCTCCTATCTGCGGATATCTGCCGCGTGTTTGTCCTGGGCAAATAATTCCCTGGCTGCAAATAGGTCGTTAAAATTCTGACCCTTTTATAGCCCTGGATCCTCCCCTGGACGAAGGCCTGAGAGCTGACGTAAGTTCACCACGACCTGGATATGGTGGAGGTAGAGGCGGTGGCAGCCCCCCACCAAGGCCCCACCCTGGGCACAGAGCCTCTTGGAATGGCCAGTCCCCCTGACCTGGTCTGGAATCTTCACAATGAAGAGTCCCTCCTCGGCAGATAATGAAGGGCGGGGCATGGGAACAGTGCAGCTTGTGTGTGTCTGCCTGTGCTTGTGGGTGTCTTGGGGATGGGTGGACTTTTCTCTCCCTACAGTTATCGAGATGATCGATGGAGATGGGGTGAGGACTCCGGCATCCGGGGTTCCCCTGCTTGGGCAGCGGCTGGGAATCTTGGCGTTGGCACCTACTTATCTGAGTGCCATAGCTCACCAGCATGAGGCAGGACCACCTGGAGTGCTGCAGACTGGAGCCCCTGCTCACTGAGCTTGGCTGCTCATCCAAAAGTTGGGGGTTCAAGTCTATGCAGAGGCAACTGGGAAGAAAAGTCTGGCATGCTATTTCTGAAAAACCAGCCGAGGAAGACCCAGTAGAGCGCCGTCTATGGCAAGG